TCGGGACTGTGGCCGGCGGTGCCAAATAATAAAAACTTTTCGAGCAGCACCGAGGGACCGGTTGGCTAAAGGAGCTACCGAGCGTCCCGAAAGCCCTGGGCCCTTTTCTCCTGCTGGGGCGCACAGGTGGTACAGGGGTTTTGCTCAGTGCTGCGGTGCCAGCGAGGCCCCGGTTTGTTTAAATAAACGGGTTGCATTACTGGCACCGCGCTTCAATCGTTTTAACCTGTTCGCCTCTGATGTTCTGCTGCTGTTGCCGAGTGGCGTCTCGTCTCTGCTGTGCCTGAAACGCTGTCGCCGTGCAGGAGGTGTCGCTGATGGATGCATACCTGGTGCTTTTACTCTCTGCGAAACTTAATTTTCAAAATGATACTTGGAAATTGAGCCACAAAACTTCCTCTGGCACATGGGCAGTCTCACAGCTGTCTGCATGTGTCACTTAGAAAAGTGAATCTCCTTTGAGCAGGGGAAGGAGCTGCCACGTTGGTCGCAGCTGGAGCATGCGAGCTTTGCTCAGGCGTGCCACCCTGCCAAAGCCCGGGAGGCTCCGGCTGCAAACAAGGGGTGCGCGCTCACCTTGGCCGTGCAGAGCAGGAGCTTCAGTCAGTGTTTCCCCCAAATGGCTCCATGGGCTGGGGAACGGGGAGTGAACCGTGGGGCCAGGCGGGCTGCAGGACAGGGGCATCCTGGGGGAGAATTGAGGGTGGCAGCGACAGGCTGGGTGGGTTGGTGAGTCAGGGGCCACCCGGCAGAGGCTCGGGGAAGGCCACACACATCACGGCAGGCTGTGGAAAAAAACTTCGATGTGTAGCATAGTTTTCGTGGCACACGCCACAGGCCAGAAAACAGGGTTGAAGATGTAAGGTGTGATTAGCCCACTGTACTTTAAAATAATATATGTTTAACAGCTTGCGTTTTGGAGGTGTTTGCATCTTGACTAACAGTCTCTGGGCTTCGCTGCAGCTTAATTTAAAAAGTGATCTCCTGAAAACAGGTTAATGGGATAAACAATGCCTGATAATTTTAATGTCTTAGTCATGCCTTAACATACCACAGCATACCATGAGATGTATCACAGTTTTTAGTCTCATAGCATGACATTGTCTCTTTTCTAGCACTTGGGGTTATAATTTCTGAGCTGACGTGTCAGAACTGCTGCCCATATCTTAACAATTGAAAATAAAATACTGCCCACCAGAAAGACAACTTCTGTTGCAAAACACTGTCTTTTAGTTTTAGTTACCTGATTAGAGCGAGTGCTGGTTGTGAAAACAGTAATAGAGTCCTTTTTACCCATAGACAGCCTCTGGGGAAATCCCTTAGTCATGAATTAGGTGAGTATCAGAGTCTTTCAAAAACAGTAGGAGGTATTTAGAAATGGAGTAGAGGTAATAAAGTCTTAACTTAGAAATGGATAGTATAAAATGGCCCAATCATTCATTTGTTGGTTGCAGGATATTAAATATACTTGTCCTCAGCTCTTGTCTGCCCAGACCCATAAATGGCAGGCACATTTTTTATTAGAGCTTATTGCATGTTAATGTCACCACTTCCTGGCTTTACCTAATTATAGGAACTTTTGCCTTCATACATAGGGTCCATAACCATATTTTCAAACAAGGTTATTATTGGTTAACTTTTTGTATTTTATACACAGTCTGTTTTATTTGGGAATGACACAACTATCTGCTCTATTAAACATACAAAAATGCTAATATTTTTCAGAATTTATGGCACAAGTTAAAGACTTTGAACATGCGCTTGTGTAATGGACACAGCCTCTAGTTCTCTTTATTGTCCCAAACACTGTATTTTAATTTTAAGCCCTCATTGGTTGAAAGTTTGCCAAATGTGTAATTCACCACTGATCTAACAGTATGAGCAGGTCTAAACATGCACAGTAATATGAAGGTTGCCAACCCTTTGCTTGTATCTGTGGATACCAAAAACAGCAGAACCAGTTCAGAATACGAGAACAACAGAATGCAGAACAAAATCTTGTTGTGCAAGTTTTAAAACTTTTATCTGAGTAACCTTTGTAAAGATTGTAGTGGGATTTTTTGTGCTTTGTAATTAAGTAGCTCAAGTCCTCATGTTCCGCTCTGTGTCTCACTGTGTTTCCTTCTGCAGTATATATAGTAGTGACGATGACGAAGAAGATATTGAGATGTATGATCACGATTATGATGGTCTGCTTCCTAAGACTGGAAAACGTCACTTAGGAAAAACCAGGTGGACCCGTGAAGAGGTAAATCCAAGTTCATTCATCTCCTGCATGTAAAAAGACGGGCAGAGCATGGATCACATTCTTCTCCAAGTTGCTTATCTGCAAAATAACTTCAGTGATAGTCCCATGTATATGAATGAGGACAAACTTTTTGACCCTTTGGATACATTCGGTGTTTTGTTTAAATTTGAGGATCGCTCTTCTCTTTTAAATAAAATGTAGAAGCACGATTTTTTTATGTCCACCAAGGCCTATGTTACAGGTATGTGAGTCTCCATGTAATCCCCGTTGGAGAAACAGATTAAGAGTCACCTGCAGCAAGGCTCGGTTGTTACTGCTGCCTCTTTTTGTTTGAAAGCAGTTGCTATGTGAGAACTGACGTGTGTTCAGTGTCCCACAGCAACAAACAACTGTGTCAGAAACTGCTGCAGTCCTTTTGTGCATTTAATTGTAGCATTATGATTCCAAGTGGAAATAAACTAAAGGCTGGAAGAAAGAAATCCAGCAGTATCAAAATTGAGCATTCAAGATGTATTTTGTTTTTGAAGGTCAGAATGAGTTTGAGTCACAGTACCCTTGTGCTGACTTTCCAAGTAAATTGTGGAGTCGAACTCCTTTGCCAGGTGGATATCCTGTGGCCATTTAACTGGTTTGAGTTTATTGCGAAATACATTAATACAATTCTTAAGCTATGTTTTGACTTTCTCCTCTCTAACAGTGTGTATTGATACATAAACAGTGGCAGGTCACCTCTTGCAAGCATTTTACATTTTTTTTAAATCATTGTCTGCTCTTACAGAGGTACGTGTGTTTGTGATGTGGACTGGGAGGAAGGGGTGGCTGTGGACCCCAATGGCCACTTTCCTGTCACATGAACTGGGAGCGTACTGATGGGGGAAAGGGAAGGTTGCTCCCCTCCTCTGATCTCTTGGGGCAGTTCTCCCTTGTCTTACACTGTCTCGATCTTTCCCAGTACATGCGATAGGTTTCTTTTGTCTTTAGGGCCTATATTTCTGGCTTTATAATTAAAAATATTGGGCCAAATCTCTTGCTATTGTAAGCATGCAAAGCTCCCTCACAGTGATCAGGACCAAAAAGGAGTCATTAGTTTTATTGTGCATTCATTGTACACATATGCAGTGAGCAAATTACTGGAACTCCCGTTACTTGCAAGACACATAAAGCTTAAGGCTGTGTCCCCGCACAGCTGGGTCCCTGAGTGTCACTGAATTTTATTGTTGTTCTGATGCCTGGCATCTAAACATCCATGCTCTCCTGAAAATCCAGTACAAGAATAACAGTTACGTTGGTTTGAGCAGTAAAATGGGAATGTATCATGAAAGTCAAAGAACTGCACAGAAAAAGTCAGGCTTTCTCCTGCAGCACAGTAAAGAACCTACCGAAATCCACAGGAGTAGAAAAATCTCCTGATTTAGGCAATTAAAAATATGAGAAGACTACAGACCACCTCCCCTCACATTCAGGATGCAGAAATAGATGCATAACAGAGGCAATTTTTGTTTTGCAATGTACTTCATTTGCATTATACGAGATTGCGGTATTAATTATGTCTGTTTTTTTTGATGATTCAGGATGAGAAACTGAAGAAACTTGTGGAGCAGAATGGCACAGAAGACTGGAAAGTCATCGCCAGTTTCCTTCCTGTAGGTGGATATTGGTTTCTGTTTCCAGTTCTAGTGTCAACTCTTTATCAGAGGTTTCCAAGTTAGGGAAAGGGGAGTGGTTGGTTTTAGTTATTTTTTGCGGGAGATAGAAGACCTCCACAGACAGAGACCTCAGAAATTTAGTTAGAATATTGTGGAAACCCTTACCTTAATTTTCCTTTCATTTCTCAGAAAGGGTTGGAAAAAATCAAATGAGCAAAAATTGGGAGGGGTGTTGCACATAGATGGTCAATGTGACACTGAAATGAAATGTCTGAGCGCAGAGAAAAAATCCCTTTGATGAATTGTAAGTGTGGTTTAGAAGGTAATTGTTTTGTGAACACCTTGGCTGTTGTAGAAATACTGCATGTGAAAGCATGACAGCTCTTGTGCCAGATGGTGAAGATTCAGTTTGCGTAGTTTTGGCGATACAGTCATCACTGCAGGAATGATGGAAATATTATCTAGTTCAGTGAGCAAAGTGGTAGCTGAGCACCTTCTTCTCAGACCTACTATGTCACTCCGTATTGTTTAGCTGAAATACACCGGGAACAAGTGTACCTAGTTAAGAGTGTTATCACTCTACATTCGTCTTGCCTAAAGAATGATCTACTTTGCATATTTTACATTTCACTAGAATCGGACGGATGTTCAGTGCCAGCACCGATGGCAGAAGGTACTAAACCCAGAACTTATCAAAGGTCCGTGGACTAAAGAGGAGGATCAAAGGGTAATCAGTTTTCCTTTCCATCTGATTAATGCCTTACCAGTGGATTTCATGTGTTGGGACAGAACTCCTAGAGACTTTTATGGTATCAACACTAATATGGCCAGAAGCAGACTGATCCTATAGTTTCAATGCTTAGTATTTGTGTCATTTTCTACACAAATTAATTACTATCCCTTTGTGGCACTGTAATGTAGAAATACAGTTGCAAAATGTCTTAACTATTACCAGATTTTTCCTTTTGGGTAAAAGTATAAGTGGGAAGTGGGGAATCTTAATTGTGTGTTAGTTTTACTGTGGCAATTTTGAGAAATGTTGTTGAAAATATTGCTCCACCACAGAAAAATTTCATTGATTCGTTATGCATCTAAATACAGGCAGTTTTTATGTCCTTCTTTGAAGGTAATAGAACTCGTGCAGAAATACGGTCCAAAGCGCTGGTCTGTCATTGCTAAGCATTTGAAGGGAAGGATTGGAAAACAGTGCAGGGAGAGGTGGCACAACCATTTGAATCCAGAAGTGAAGAAAACCTCCTGGACAGAAGAGGAAGATAGAATTATTTACCAGGCACACAAGAGGCTGGGAAACAGATGGGCAGAAATTGCAAAGTTGCTGCCTGGACGGTAATGACATATACCTTTAGCTCTTAAATAGGAAAAAAGGAAAAAGCTGCAGGTCTGAGCACTATGTTTCAGTTGCCTTGGGCTGCACATTATAAATAAAAAAAAATTTGGAATCAAAACCTGGAAAGCCAATGACATAGATGTGCATTTTTTTCAGAGGGGAACTGTGCTGTTTGGGCAGTCCATAGATCAGTACGCTATTTTTATATGCTTTTAATGTTTGCCATAAGTAGAAAAATCCTGTAACTAGAGGAAGACCGTAACAGTTTCCTAAATGTCTGTGCAATCTTATTGGTGCTCAGAATAACTGTCAAAATTGAAATTGATTTAACAGTGAAGGATCAGGCTCTGCGAGTGGAACATAGTTTACATTCAGCTAAGGGTATACCTTCAACATGAAATCTGGTCTCTTTATTCAAAATTATTTAAGAGAGGGCTGCTTCAATATTTGTAATTGCTCCTGAATCATCCAGATGATTTTGACCTGTTGAAAAACCATGTATAAAACAGGAGAAACTGACTTCCTCAAACTCTGATCCTGGATATACATGTCTCATTGAAAGCTTCTGCACAGCTTGCACTTAATTTTAGAAATTCAGTTTCTTACTTGCTCTATAGTAAAAGTGACTCAACATAAGGGGTAGTCAAGCAAATAATGTAAGCAAGGGAGAGGTTGCCCTTCCCATTTTTATTCCTGCTATTTGGTGAAACATCTTGAAGATCTAAATATGATGCCTAAGATCATGACAGCCTTTTAAGCAGGCATTCCCTAGGCTGCTTTCACTTTCTAGAAAAAAATAAGAAAGGAATTACCCGCTGGAAAGTTTTTCTGTAGCTTCCACACATCACAAATAACCGCATTCAACAATACTGTGCGGTGGTGATGTTTTTCAAATAGAGGACCTGTTTCTAAGCATACTCTTAAAATCTCACAGACTTGAGAAGTTTTATTTTTCTGACTCATATGTGAGAATTTGAATCTCAAGTTTTCTGCAGTTAAGAAAAATCCCAACATCTTTGTTTACTGAATTTGTGTGTATAGCACGATGTTGTCATTGTCTAGGTGGCCAGTTGGAAAGCCGCTTTGAAGTTAGTCTTCACAGCTGTTCTCCGCAGTCTTTCTTTCCAGAAATGAGATACAATAAAACTCCAGTGCAACATTAAGATGTAGGAAGATGATGCTGGCAGTCCTTTAGGGCAGCCTAAAAGGGGTGCTAGCCTTTGCTGTCACCTCACCTCATGGGAATGAAGTGAAGCTGAAGTTATTAATTTCTTACATTTTTAGGACCTAAGGCTTAGAGATTGCTTCCAAAAGTACACAAACAAATGTACCCCATTTAATTTTTTTCGCTGCTTTTTTTTACTGAGCTTCTTTCCTGAGGAGTTGAGGGTAGCGTTTGTAAAGGTGCGGGCAGGAGGAAGGTCAGAGAACAGCTCGAGGTCTGCACATAAATGCCAACAGCAGTTTCCTGCCCATTAATCTCAGTCTGAATTGGAACGCTCATTTTTAAAAATTCCTCAAACATACATATTTGTGTTGCAGAACTGATAACGCTATCAAGAACCACTGGAATTCCACCATGCGCCGCAAGGTTGAGCAGGAGGGCTACCTGCAGGAGTCCTCCAAAGCCTGTCACTCCTCAGCAGCTGCCGGCTTTCAGAAGAGCAACCACTTGATGGGCTTTGCCCACAACCCACCTTCTGCACAGCTGCCAGCCGCCGGCCAGCCCCCACTGAGCGGTGACTACCCCTACTACCACATCGCCGAGCCAGAAAATGTAAGCGCCTGAAAATAGGGTTGTTTTTTCATTTTGTTTTGCTGTGCCTGATTTCAGGAAGCATGAAATGTTTTCTCCCAGTCTTGGTAGACTTGTATGCGTTTGATGTCGGCTGAGGACCAGTTTGACTTAGGCATCATTCAGTGATGAGAATATGTACATTTCAAATGGATTGCCGGCACTCAGGTGCTGGAATCAGGTTCAGTGTTTTTAATATCTTATAAACGGTGAACATGTTTTCAGTACGGTTTCTTATAGTGCTAAATATTGCACTTGTTGAAAATCAGTTGAATCTGGTTAATTCTGTGTTTTATGTCAAAATCTCCCACGTCCCTTCAGTAATATTTTGTTTGGGGGTTGCCTGTCAGAACCAAGTAAGCAAGCATTGCTTTTAATCGGATTCCTTTTCCTATTAATGATTAATAATGAAACTGGCTGCTGCTTCAGACAGTTACATTGCGGAGTTTTATATGATAATAAATTGCATCTTTTGCATTTTCACTTCAATTTAGAAAAATCTTACAAATACATACATAAATTATTCATCTTTTCTCATTCAGGAAGGGTAGATGCTTCATATATTCATTTTCTTTCTTCCTCTGTAATGCTCACTGTCATGTTCCTAAAAAACTGTTTACTTTTCGTGTAAACATTGTTGGGTTTTTTGCTATTTCATCTCCATAGATTATAAATACTAAGTGACTAAAACCAAAGTATGTTTAACACAAATTCACAGTGCAGGCAGACAATATGATAAAAATAATAACTTTCAGTGTCTTTTGCTTTTTGGCCTAGGTCCCTGGTCAGATCCCATATCCAGTAGCACTGCATGTAAATATTGTCAATGTTCCTCAGCCAGCTGCTGCAGCTATTCAGGTAGATAACTTGAATATCATTTCAAGAGTCAATTTGTTAAACATTTGATAAGTCAAAATGCAGATACTGTACATGAAGGAAACATTTTAATGTAATAAGTGTGAAGAGAGAAAATGGGGAAGGTGGGGGAGTTCAGACATGGCTAATAATTGCTTCTTCTGAAGTGTACTTAAAACACAGTATTTGACATCTGGTGTGTAGTAGCTTTCACTTTCTCCATTTCAAATGTCTACTGAAATTCAGCAGGGACTTTGGTAGTGGAAAACACAATTGACATTTGTTTCATCTTTGAGTCTGTTGTAACCACAGGACGGCAAGCCATCAGCATTTACTTGCTACATCCTATCAGACCTTTATCTTTTCTTTTCCCTTAACTCTTAATTTCAGAGACACTATAATGATGAAGACCCTGAGAAAGAAAAGCGAATAAAGGAATTAGAGTTGCTACTAATGTCGACTGAGAATGAACTGAAAGGGCAGCAGGCATTACCAGTAAGACTGTCACTGTGTGCTTGGATGGAGGGATAGCAGCGTTACCCCAGTGCTTGTCTTTCTAACTTTTTACTCCCCCTCTGCCTTTGATACTAATCAAGGCTCTATATTTCCGTTTTAAAAGGATGAAACATAGCACATATATGATCTGTATTTGCTTTGTAAATTCTTTTATTGAAAAAAAAGGCAAACAATTGGCAGGTATTTTACTTTGCAAAGAGGGAGCAGGGCTGGGCTCTGTAACATGCCATAATATTGGAAACACGATGGTTGTATAAAAATGAAAAATCCCACAGATCTTAAGTCAATGGGATCAGCATTTCTGAAAGTGTGCAATGGTTCATGTGATGAAAATGTAGTGCCTGTACATTAGGTTTTTCTTCTCTATTGCATTCTTTCCTTCAGCTGTGTTTTATACACTTTGTAAGCTTCAGACTTGGTGCATGTTTGACAGTTTGTTTTACTTCTCCGAATAATGTTAGATTCTTCGTAACTGCATGTGTGGAACAAATGCTGGCTATTACTGAATTCTCACACTTCGTTGTATATGCCATTGGATGTTCATGTGTGAAAACCCTTATGTAATTCCTTAACACCACCACCAAAGCCAAGAATCCCCAAATCGTTTTTGAAGATAGGTGATAGCCAGCAGATTCTTTTTTTGGGTAATATTTAAATTAATAGTAAACCAGCTTCATGCATGATACGTTAGTTTGGCCACTTTTTAACTTTAGTTAATGTTTTGCAATTTCTTCTGTTGCATGATCACACTGGAAAGAAACTTCTGTTAATTTGTTCTTCTGCTTTCCTAACCACGTTGATTTGACAGCCTCTTCATTGCATTGGTGTAAGCTGTAGCTTTAGACAGGGACAGAAGAAGAAAAGGAGATAAGCAAACAAAAGCAACTCTAACTCTTAAACCCTTTAGCCTTCTACAGTGCTGAGTGCTCAGTAGGGAAATCCTGCCGTTTCTTGCTTCTCACAGAAAATGGCTTGCAGACACTTTTTGAGCTTTTGGAGTAACACAGTATGAATCGATTGTCTGTTAGTAATGATATACGCTCATAATCCTGGAAGTAAATTATGAGGTAACTTTGGGATAACAAGTACAATGCCAATATTACTTAAAACAAGATCTTGCACTGATGAAAGGAAACATCTTGACAATTGTTTCATAGGCATAAGCTTTTAGATGATGATGCAACTACTTTTATCTTTCCTTCAGTGGCATCTGACACCTTGTGCAATTTCATTGCTAAGTTCCTTCTGCCTTCCCCCCCCCTTTTCTTTTTTTTTTTTCTTCCTCCTTTAGACACAGAACCACACATCAAACTACGCTGGCTGGCACAGCACCATGATTGCTGACAGTCCCAGGACCAGTGGTGATGATGCGCCTGTTTCCTGTTTGGGGGAACATCACCACTGTACTCCATCTCCACCAGTGGATCATGGTTGCTTACCTGAGGAAAGTGCATCCCCTGCGAGGTGCATGATTGTTCACCAGAGCAACATCCTGGATAATGTTAAGAATCTCTTAGAATTTGCAGAAACACTCCAGTTAATAGACTCCGTAAGTAGACTTGCTGCCTCAGGTGGATTCTTGCGTGGTCAAGGAGTAAGGGGAGAGGAACTGGGACTGTCCTAAATGAGTTTTGGGTTTTTTTCCAAGTGACTTCTAACTGCTACAAGATCTGAAGCTTAGCTTCTGACATAACAAAACGCGGCTGATCATAAACGAAGCCCTCAAGTGTGGATGTGTATGGTCTTTGTGGGTGTCTCCCTTTCCTGCTACATCTTGGTCTGGGAGTGTGATTTTTTAACTAACTGCGCAATAGGAGCTTGAAACAATCTCTGGGTATCAAGCCTCCTTAAAATAAAATCAGAGACATAGTGAAAGATTATAAACAATGAAATGATATTTATATTTGAAGTGACACAGGCTGTAGGTTTATGTGTAGCTGCTCATGTATATGCATCAGTTTCTAAAAGTTTTTGTTGTAGCTTTAATAGGTGCTTCTTAGAGTTTAAGCAGCTTGCCCTGGCATATGTGAAGACCTGGAAAAGTGCATTTTAAATGCCAAGTAGCTGACTGACATGGCCATGGGCCTTTTCTCATTGTGGTCTCTGGCATACTGTATGTAGCAGAAGTGACACATTGAAATATGTTTGTTGGTGGCATCCTCCTGCAGCAGCAGAGGTGTCTCCTTCACACAGCATCACATCGCATTCAGTATGTCCAGAGCAGGCATGAAGGTTAGGAGGAGACCAGTCTTGGTTTAGACCCCAAAGCACACATATGTTGGTAGCGAAAAGCACTGTCTTCTTACCAAGCAGAAGACCCTGGGCAAGTAGATAGTAAGGGTATCATTTGACTCATTGTTTCTTTAGGGACTCAGTTGCCAGCAACACTACTGAGATGTTATTTTGATGTGATCAAGGTATATATTGAAAACACAAATAAGCATTCACAGTATTACTACTCAAATGGACAGGGTCAAGCTGAATTGAACTGGGAAAGACTTTGCTGTTGTTGTTGGTTATGGGCATATCTTAGTGCTGTATTTTCATGAGGTGGCACTATACACTGTCTTATAGCTCCCTGCCTCCCACGTTGTTTCAGGATCCTTCATCATGGGGTGATCTCAGCAGTTTTGAATTCTTTGAAGACACAGACACTCCGGCTAGCAAAGCTCCCTCAGGCAAAGTTGCACAGCTTCAGCAAAGAGGGGCCAGTGCTTGTAGATCTCAAGGACACCCCATCACAAACCTGAGCAAAGTCATGTCGAGTCAGGGCTCTCCTGGCTCACCAAAGTCCTTGTCATCTGCCTCACAGGGCAGCACGGCTCCGTGGGTCCTTCTTCGCAGAAGGAGAGGGCACTCCAGCCCCTTAGCCAGTGGCCACGTTAGCACCTTGGTCCTAGCTGATGACAGCAGCTCAACTCCTCCTAAGTGCTCCCCTGTCAAAAGCCTGCCCTTCTCTCCCTCGCAGGTAGATCAAGACTTCTGCACAGATGTTACTAATTCTCAAAAGTCACCCCAGCCTTAACAATTTAGAAACTAATCCTTTGGAACAAATGAGTAATTACCGTTGCGCTTGTTGATTTCACTCTGTGTTTGAATCTTCTTACTGCTCTTAGTCTTCACCGCTGAGTTCAGATCATCAGCAAGCTAACTGTTGATTCTCTTCTTTTAAATTCGTCTGTGGGGCTTGGGTTTGTTTGTTTGTTTGGGGTTTTTTTTGGATCATTTTTGTAGGTGAATACCATTGTTTGCTTTGCTCTTGCTGTTAACTCCTTCAGCTACTAGAGTTTAACATTTCCGATCATTTGTAATACTTTTTCCATCTCTGTCCACTTACAGTATGATTCATTGACCTAGAAAACCCCAAACTGCATTTAAATAGCAATCAGGTTGTGAGACAAACTGACAACAACCAGAAAATTCAAATCATGCCGTCTTCAACCTGGGCCATGTGGGATGGAGTGGAATAGAAATGAGGAGAAAAATGGCCTGTTAAAATGGCCTGGCGTGCATTTCCAAATTCCTGTCAGTGGTTGCTTTGTTTCACAGCTGTAGCACTATTTAAAAGTGTTTTGGTTTTTTTGTTTGTCTGCTTGCATTGGTTTTGCCTTGGTTTGGCTTTAGTCCTTGAACTCAGAGAAACACTGTTTCATCAAGGATAGTAAAAGACTGTATGGAATTATATTCCACTGTTTCTCCCATTACCTATTACATATTTTAATCATATATAATTTATCCAGTGAAATCCACAATTTGTTACATGCCATATTTTTATAAAGTGTATTTTAAACTGATGCAAGTTGAGTCTAGAAGGTAATACAGCGAATGGTTGTCAGAATAAAGGATACCACTACCCTCACAGATTTGTAGATACTAGAAACGGAAACAATATTTTAGGCTACTAGGTAGAACTCATGAAAAAGCAATTTTCTCCAAACTAATACTGCCACCTCCTTTTTGGTCCACTGTTTCCATTCCAAAACACTCCACAAACCTATCACAGGTGGCAGTTTTCGTTTTATGCTGTGAAACAGAACACTTTGTTTTGAGAGACAATAGGAAATTTATTTTCCTGTCATAAACACTGTATTTACTGCCTTTAAAGCACCTAGATTCCTCATATAAATCTTTGTGTAATTTAGCCCCATTTCCTGTGGGTTTATTCCTGAAACATCGCTTACTCATTTTCACCCAGGTCTTACTTGGGCACAATGCTCTTAACATTAATTAAAAATTATTTGCAGAAAATCTAGATCAGGCTTTTAAGATTTGGCTCTGAAAGTGATAGAGAGTGTTTCTCATTGGGATGGAGTGTCATTTTCTTTGTAACTTCCCTCTCTAGAAAGGCTCATTTTAGCTTCCTGAGTGCTCCAGACAGACTGCTGAGTATTGTTTTTCCATGTAGTCAGGTACGCCACATACACCTACCCGCATTGTAGGGTCAGGAGAATCACTTGTGTCAATCCAAAGGAAATAATTTATTTTTCATTTGTTCAATAATGTCAACTTAAGAAGTCAGCCTTGTAATCTGGCTGTTCCTGTTGATTTTTCCTTTCCCTAAAAAAAACACTTCATCCAACCACGAAAACCTGAACCCGGACAACCCTGCACTAACTTCCACCCCAGTGTGTGGCCATAAGATGGCTGTTGCCACGCCGTTCCACAGGGACCAGACTTTCAAAGCTCAGAAGGAAAATCATGCGTAAGTCTGTTATCATGTCTTGTCGGATTCATGGGGACTCATTTCTTCAGGTTTGCACACAGCCAAAGTACTGGGTCACTGTATGCTTCCTGCAGAATTGTTTGCTAACACATTCAGATTTTTCTTAGTTTGGAGTAAAACTTCTGCTTTATAGCTGTTGAAGTAGGTTATTAATATAGAACAGGCACACATATAGACTCACCAGTTTTTTAAATAAAGCCATTCCACCTTATCACAGGTAGATAGATGTTCCGACAGAAAAACAAAATGGATTATAGGATTGCAGGAAAATGTTGTTCCGAATCTTACAGCAGCCACTGTCTATATGCACATATTTTTGTAAAGAGGTAGTATTTCCAAGCATGTTCCTTTAAAGTTTTTCTCCCTCTTTTTAAAGTTTCAGAACTCCAGCAATCAAGAGGTCGATATTAGAGAGCTCTCCAAGAACACCCACTCCATTCAAAAACGCACTTGCAGCTCAGGAAATCAAATATGGTCCTTTGAAGATGCTGGTAAGAAGGAAACAATGATAAAAGTTGCTTTGATATTAGTGCAGAGGGATGTTCTGGGACTTGGATATAACGTTTCTTCCTTTCAGCCTCAAACTCCGACTCATCTTGTAGAAGATCTGCAGGACGTTATCAAGCAGGAGTCCGAGGAATCTGCAATAGTTTCTGGGCTACATGAAAGTGGACCCCCTTTGCTGAAGAAAATCAAACAAGAGGTAAATCTCAAACTTACCTGAGGCAATTTAATTCAGTGCTCTTTGCTGAGAAACTTAAACCAATATCTTTTCTGTTAAATAGCTGTGTCTGTTTTTCTTTCATGTGAGCCCCAAGATCTTGTGTCGGTTCTATGTAGTATACTAGACATGCCTAATTCATCTCCCATTGATTTCCATAGAAGTCTTTCTGCTGTTTTCAGCAGGGGATTGCTTGGGCTGTTCTAATGCAGTTTTTGTTTGAAACTTAAAAAGAAAAAAAATTAGACAGGAATTTGGATTGAATCTTTCTAATATTGGTGAAAACTATAGAGGAACCCCACGGGGCCCAAGCTCCATGGAGTGACTTAGAAACCTGAACGTTTGAGGACATTGCATTGTATTACTTTGTCACTAAAGTTCTAAAAATACATATATTCTCAATCCTTTCTAAGGGATTAAACTCCTGAATACTGACAGAGCACTGAGTGCAAGTATTCAAAGTTTTATTAGGTGGTGATTTTTTTGAGAACTTTGGAACTTTTTTCTTCTGCTAAGAGCAAGGGTTCTCTAACAGACAGTACTGTATACATGTATTATGCATGGCTGTGAAGAATATTTATTCAGTTTATTAAGCAACCGACAGATAAATCTCCTGGTCAATTAGGGACTGGTTTTTATTGTGGTATCTGTCTTGCTTTCAGGTGGAATCTCCAACAGATAAAACTGGAAATTTTTTTTGCTCGAATCACTGGGAAGGAGAAAACCTGAACACTCAGCTCTTTACACATGTGTCTGCTATGGAAGATGTGCCAGTAAGTGCAAGTTTTCACATCACCAAATGTTTTTTCTGTTTTACATCCCCTGTTGAGTTCTTAAATGCAAGAGAGAGAATATTTTGTCTGACCTTCCTCACAAGTAGGCGTTATTCATTATTTCCATATCGTTTTTCTGTATTAAGCATAAGGAGCAAAATCCAGCTCTGAATTAGATCACTGTAATGCCTCCAGAAGGTAGCAGAAGTTGCAGTCATTGTGCAGCCCACAGGCTTTGTAATGAGCCTGCACTTGGAGGATGCCTGCACCTGCGTATAGAAATGACTAGGTCACGGAGTTAGAACTGGTAAAAGAAAGAGAGAGTCTGTTTTGTTTTGTGCAAGGGAGGCCTGGCGTGAGCACAGTTCCCTTTGCTTCACCAGGACTATTCAATGTTGTTGTTCTTGCACTTGGGAGTTTCACTGGATGAAAAAGCTTTGCGTGTGACAATGCTCCTGCAAAGCCACATCCCAGGGACCCCAGGCTGAGATCTGTTTCCAGGCAGAGTTCTCCATCTGTGATCATGCCCAGTGTTGCATCCTCTGCAGTCAGGTGGAGTTTGCTTTTAATGTGTTCAAGTTCAGGTTGTTCTCTTGAGTTGCTGAAAACCTTTTTTTTTTTTTTTTCCCTTATTCAGAATCTTCTTACCAGCTCCATTTTGAAGATGCCCGTGTCTGAAGATCATGGTAGCTTTCACAAAACATTTGCAGTACCTAGGAACAGGCCACTGGGTAGTCCTCTGCAGGTAAAATATTATTTTATTAAAATACCCTTTGTGTATAAAAATATATACATATATTGCTTTCTCGCAGACTGGTTTTGAGTATGTAAGAATGAAACATTCATATGAAGGTGGTTGAGGATCTCACTTTACCTGTGCAGCATGAGGATGCAGTGGCTACAGCTGTGCCAGGAAGCTGAACAGGGAAAAGCTCCGTGCGTGGGACATTGTAACTCAGCCGGTTCCAGTGTTAAATTGGTAGGATTGAGAATTAACATGGGCCAGGGGCTTTTTCTTACAGAATTCTTGCAGGTGGCTCTGCTGTTTTGGAGAGCAGGAGGATAGAGTAGGGTGGTGGTGGCCAGCATTTATCCCTGGATATACTTGGATACCTATTACATTGGGCCTGATCCAAAGCCCACCAGGTCATTAACAGCCTCTTTGTCAACTCTGGTGGACAGAAATCTTTAAGAGAATGAAACACAGTGTAGAGAGTGATCAGTTATCCTTCCAGCACAGCCCCTATTTTTGAGGTAGATTAATAAGTGATTTTATATCCCTTCTCCACATGGGCAAATTGAGGGAAAGTGTACCATTCCCCAGGGTGAGTCACTGTCAGAAAGGAAATTATAACTCTATAGTTCCTGCCTTTCAGACAGTCCATATGGCTAATCCTTGCTTTCCTCCCTCTTTCCAGGATTTACACTAGGGCTTATTTACAGTAGGAAGGAATGAACAAAACATGGTTTTGATTAAGCATCTCTAGCTTGGCATTATAAAGCGACATACTAAAATTTCACACATGTCCCTGTTTGTCACAGTTTGCCATGGAGTAGGTCTGTATTTTGCGTTGCAGAATCAATCATCTGATGATAGGCAGCTTTGGAAAGGAGGGACTGTATCTCCCCTTGGCGTGGGGGTGTCCATAGGGACCAAACCCTCACACTCCCTGTTTCTTAGCTGCACTGTGGTAGATGGCTCAGAGGAGGGTCTGAACATCCATGGTCTCTGGGTTAGGGCAGTTATTTAGGGACAGAATTCAGACCATGTCATGGAAAAGGAGGGCTCCAGCTTTGCAGGGAGTTGCTGGGGCTCCCTGGCCGGCCTGTGGGAGGAGGCAGCGGGTGCTGGTGTCCTCAGCCCCGCTACCTTGCTGTCCATGGCCCCCAGACAAACTTGGGGCTCCTCCAGAGGTTTAGGGCAACATTTTCAGGCAGCAAAAGAGTATGTTGTCGGTTGTCCTGTTAGTGGTAGTTGCCTGAACTCTGCTTGTAGTAAAAACAAAGCATCTGAGGTGCTTGTAGAATAGGATCTTTAGATCTTTGGCATAACAGTGTTATGTTTCCTGCTATCTAAAAATAATTTCTTTACAAGCTGCTGTAAATGAAAGGGCTTGTTTAACCTTCTCACTCATGCTGATTTCGTTCAGGAAGTTTACATGAGTCAATTTATGGGCCGCACTGAATCCCATTCTTCAGTCCTTGCTCAGGAAAAGCCTTGAATTTTGTATGTTAAAAGTCAGGTATTCTCATTATTTGGATAAAGAAAACTTTTCCTCAAGTTGGAACTGAGTTAAAAATTACTTCCCAGTTCATCTCAGTGTTTAAAACCTGTTGAACTGAAAGAAAAAGCAGTTCTAAAAAGCCCTGAAATTAGTATTTAATATTCAGCTTCTTGGCGAATCAGTATGAAGGTAAAATTACTCTTTCTGACGATGAAGAAACATTGAGTATTTCAGCTGAAATGTAATCCTAAATGAAGAATGAGGGCAGAGGTGTCTGTGACGGTGGCACAGACAGCTTTTTCAGAATGAAATGCAGATATTTTATAACAGTGCAGTATCGTCTGCTGGTAGTTGCGCTCTGTGAATTTGACTTAGTATCATGGTTAAAAGGGGGGATCTGCTTCATCCCTAGTAAGGCTGCCTGACTTCACTTCAGAGGGGAGTTTGGCCCCATACAGCTCAGAAAGGACACGTGGTCTGGCTCTCGTTCATGCCAGAAACCACTGCTGCTCTGCCCTGACACTTCTCCCCCTCCATCCCAGTGGAGCTGGACGTTGTGATGAGGATACAGCACGTCTAAAGGGAGTAAAGAAATGGAAAATGTTAGCATTTGTGCTTGATTTTGACTGGTAGCATTTTGTATGTGACCAGTTTTTAGCACATTCTTATGCTTCTAGTTTATAAGTTGGTATATCGCCCACATACCTGTACACACACATGGATGTACAGATGGTCTTTGGACTAAATCCATTGATTGCATGGAGGTAGACATGAAGCACCAGGCAATGCATCTGGGTGAAATTTAATTGTGTCTGCATGTGTTTACGTTGCTGCTGTTAATATTTTGGGCCTGATCCAACTGTTTTTACTTAGGCAAATTCTCATTGACTTCAGTCCAAGTAAGAATTATAGCACTCTCTGCACCTTGGGATATGTGTGTGGAGAGAGAAGAGAGAAAGAAAGAGAGCACTGAACTTTTTTTTTTGCCAACATGCTTTTAATATGCTTGGTTCTTAAAATTCTGTTTTCTTTTAAATTTTAACTTGCTTAAGAGGGAAGTAGCATACTTACCAGCTTGCAGTATTTTTCATTGCTTTAATAATTTGCACTGCATTTACATAAAGAAAAAGATAATTTGCTAACAATAGGCTCACTAAAGTGCCTGACAACTTACTGTGTTGCTGTTAAGTTCCAAAGGAGGCAAGAGTAACAAATGTTCAAAGCAATCTCTAAGGGTATTTTTTACTGCATTTTGGTCATACAGCTGATCATACGCAACTTAGCAAATAATAGTTGATGACCTTATCAGATAGCATGATATGATTCACCATCACTTAGCAGGAACAGCGTGTTGCATCATTTGGCATGTGAGGTCAGGTAGCTGCATATAACTGTCAGTGTTGCACTACAGCAATGGGAGGAAGAGTCCCCTTAGACCTGGGAAGAGTTTGGGCTTCATCCTCATTTGATCCCCTGGTTAAATCTCCGTAAACCACTGGATGTGTAGGATCTTTCTGGTAAGGTAGGAAGGTTCAGCCAGCTTTTTTATCCTGCATGGCAAATCTCACGGTTGTGCATTGGGTATTCTCTTCTTGGCAGGAACAGGAGATGTCTCACCAAACCCACGTGTTGCCGTGGCATGGAATTACTCTTACACTCTATTGCATGGATCCCAACTACTTCTGCTTTATATCGGTGGAGTTAGCTACAACCTATATTTTTGCATCCTATATTTTTGTCACTCAGACAATACTTAGTTTCACTGTAGGGGGATTCTGGCCTCACTAGGAACTTTTCCAAGGGTTAAGATTTTGGGATAACATGAAGCCCTTATTGAGGCAGGCTGATGATCTGTACTGAGCATTTGCTTGAATAGTGCCTCATAAGAGGTTATGTAAAAACTCTGTGGCCATTACTGGGTAAATGTTATGTTTTATTTCACATTCTGTTCTGTAGGAAATCAAGTAGCAGCACATAATACAAACTATCCTAACAGACATTTTAACAGATGGAAAAGTAGGCTAAATCATAGACCATCCACCTCACCCTGCAGGCTATCAAAAGACACCATGAAATGGAACCTTTTAAGAAAATAGCACTGCTTTGATATCTTCTTCCCCCAGTAACAAAGGAAACAACACAAGGCAGAAGCCCTGCAAGCTAAAGAGAGTGTTCTTCAACCCCGAGCTCCTGTCACTTTCCATTTTTTAACCACAGACTGACACGTTTCAGCTCGAATTTCCTGACTTTCAGCGGTTTGTGTAACCATTTTCTTTAAAGAGTAAGTTTAAAGGATTTTAAAACAGTTACTTAGTTAACCTTCTCAAGACTGTGAGCTGTCATTAAGCTTAATTTTCTCTGTTTAAAAAAGTGAAATGTGGAATTTCATTTGCAGCTGGTTGTCAGACAAAACGTACAGGCAAAGCAGTGTACTCTCCTGCAGCAGCAGATGTTCTCTGGTTTTCCTCCATGGCTTTTTTGAGTCAAGAAGATCCCAAAGTCTCATCCTCTTCTTTGTTTAGTCAGGGGAGAGGGGAAAGCACACTGCTCAAGTCCCAGGAAGGTTCAGATTTGCACAGCAAGGGCAGGCAGCCCTGCAGGTTTCCCTCCCTTGTGTTGTCCCTTCTCTCCCCAGTGGCTGCTGTGTCCAGGAGCTGCTGGGCACAGCTGAGGGAAGTAAAAGAGGTTGGAAGTTACAGGTCAGTCATTGCATATTTTCCTTCCAAGGCAGCAGAATTGAGGTTGCAAATGGAGCCGGAGTTATCGCTTCCCCAAGCAGGCAATGGTCTCTCGAAAGAAGAAAAGTGACAGGTTAACTGTCAGCCATTCGCAGCAATGTGTTCTGATCCATGAATAAAAAGAATTACTTAACGACAAAACTAGAAAGGGACCAAATACCCTAATGTGAGTTGCAGGTGCTTAGCCCATTTCCACATCTCCCCCATTAATCTTACTTGGAAAGCTCACACATCTCAAACAGGAGTTAACAGGGTTAAGCTCTTAAAAGCCCTACCAAATAACTCTTTCTAGCTCTGATATCAGGCTTATAATAAAAGCTGAAAAGTTGGACCATCTTACTGTCTCACATTTAGCAAGCTATATTTCTCATCAACTGGGGAAGCCCCAGAGTTTAGGAAAAGGCTGTCCCGTGCCCCAGAGGAGAACTAGCAACATGAGCAGAAATAGTGCTCTGCCTTAGTAAATTAAGTAAATTCATTTGTGGTCACTTGAGTATTTAATTAGTCTTTACTGTCTGTTCTTGGTAAGTAAAAGGGCTTCTCTTGGTTCTGCATCCTTACAGAATAGAAAGCCAAACTATTGTCCATGGATCTGTCTTCTAACACAGTTCTTTGCCCAAAGATTTTTACTACACTTCCATCGGTTTGGGAGCTTGGTACTGCGGGACTGCAGCAGTGTTTGGTTTTGGCATCCACTCCCTAACACAAACGGTGTCATAATGCAGGAGCTTTCTTCAGCAATGCAGACAGCACATGAAAAGGCGGTCCAGGCTCTGAGTGCAGAAGGACTAGTTCTATTAGAAAAGCACCTTTCCACAGTCTTTTCTTTCCTTACTCTGGTCTGTTTTCTCTAGATGGTCCAAGTTTTTTTTTCAAGTGCTTTAACTGGATATCCCAGTTAGAGCTCTGACAGTTTGTTTACAGTTTGCATCTGCCTGAGGGCAGCTGAAGGCACGATAACAGGGTAAGTGAGGTAGTTTTGCTGCCAGGAGAGGGTTGTGCTGCTAGGATTACTGAGATTATGAAAAAAAATGACCCTGGGAGAATCACATGGCTGGAATTGTACCATGGGTCTGTAATTTTATCCTGTGGAAACTCACAGTAGTATACCACCTTCTCCTCCCCATTCCCTGTTTTAACTTAAAGAGAGAAAACTGCTGTGTGTGGAAGAGAAGAATACAGCTGGAAGTACTGGCTGAAAGGGCTTAAAGTCTTTTAATTGTCAGCAATACTAAGAGTAGTCTGCCGCTCTTTGGGGCAACAAAAGAGTGTATATATATTGAATGAATTGTACTGTGGAAATCCCTTCCTTTCCCGGTTGGATAGGGATTTATGTGCCAAAACGAGCAGCTTACTCTTAGATGGATGAATTTAAGTAGGATGAACCCACTGAATCAATGAAAACCTGCCCATCAATTTCCATGGGGTTTGGGTCTGGCCTTTGTGCTTCTCGTTACAAAACTTTTGTGTTTCCGTCTGTTGATTTGCAGTTTGGACCTTTAAATGTGACAGGGGAGATGCAATGAGCATTCTGTAAAAGGAGCGGTCTCACTTGGGTTTCTGTGCTGTTTTCCTGCATGCCTCTATCTTTCTGCCCAGGTCTCTTCTCCTTTTCTGTGTTTGCTGAGCACTGCTTTCTGTGAGGTGCTGCCCCTTTCCTGTAACAGACCCCTGGCCATGCTCACTGCGGTGCTGGCGTGGAGGGAGGCATTGTGCTTTTCCCTTTTTTACCAAGGGATCCCGTAGCTGTGCGTGCCCGTGGCTGTCAAGGCACTCTGCCTGGGTCGGAGCACCCAGCGCTCCCTGCCAAGGAGGGAAGGAAAACTTCTCTCTGCGTCGGGATGGCTTTCACACGTGCCTCCGGCACCGCGCTGCAAGGCAAAAGCATTGTGCTTTGTTTTGTGTTGGCTGCTGAGAGACAAGGCTTCAGACAGAAAATGTTTATTAAAAATACCCACTTTAAATGTCATCTGAGTTCCTCAGGATAGAATTGAAAACTATCTTACTAAATATGCTGCTTCAGAAAATGAACTGCTTTGGGTCAAATTCTGCTTTCATTACTAGAGCAAAGCTCTCACCACTGTCAGAGACTGCAAAGATAGTCTCTTTTTATACAAATTATCATAAGAGGAAGAAAAATAGTGTCATGTATTTCTGGGAAAATAATACAAAGGTCAAAACTCTGTGGGGAGATTCTCCTGTGCAGTCTCTTTGGCAAAACTTGAGTGAGTTGTTTCAAGCAGACTGGAGTCAGGGTCTAGCTGACCCTCCTGTCACTGGCCGTGTCTGCTCACCGGTGCTTCCCGGGGGCTCCGGAGCAGCCCAGCCCAGAGGGAGGGCAGAGGGTTACTGCCCACCTGCACAGCCACTGCGGCGCTGACATCAGGTTAAACGAAGACCAGGCTTTCAATGGAATGAGTGACATGTAGCAGCCTGCTGAGATGTTGAAGATATCAGGATACAGATTTATTATTTTTTCTTTTCTAAGCACATGGCTGTTAATACAAAGAGCTCAGTGTAGATACTAACAAGCCTAATTTATGAAATCGGAACACTCCTTGCCTGAAGTTACTTCTGCTTTTTAAAAGTTGACATACTGTGACAGATGGACTTTTCCTTATATGTTTTCAGTTATTTAGGGAACTGCTGATCTTACTTTTCTATAGCGGTGCATTTGAGCTTTGAGAGATCATGGGGAGATATCGATTGGACACATATTTTTGTCCTTTGAAATGATGGATATTCTGGAACTACCAACTGCTTTTGAGGTGTATAGACCAAATCTGATTTCTAAGTAAATCCGATGGCATTGTACCAGGCATTAATTTGGTCCCTGATGCAAATACCTCTAAAGTAATAGGGTAAAATATTCACAGGTGCCTGAGTCCTACTGAGGATGAACAGGAGGCTGTCAGGTCCCAGCTGATGTAGGTGTCTTTGTCAAAGTTACCCTGGAAGTGTTGAACCAAAACATAAAAGAAGCCGTGGCATGTTGTGTGCATGTCTGCGGCATGCAGAAAGTATGTCACACCTGCTTTTTGGCTGTGGTGTATGCCCTAGGCTGAGCCACAGCACAAGGTATACAGCCAGCCCAGGTTGAACCACTCTAGAAAAGAGGTGTATGGCACGTTTGTTCACTTCACAGATGCATCTTTCCCACAAAAAGCTGCAGAAACTTAATGATTTGAGGCCTGACCTGGTTCTCCGTCACATGGGTGACTCCCACTGAAGCTCAGGAGTTTTGCCTGCAAAAAGGCATCAGGAGCAGAGACAACGTTTGGAGCTTGGCTACAGAGAAAACAAAGCCCCGTCTAGGGAAGCCGAGCAGAAGTTTACAGAGGACTAACACGCTTGCCTTCGTCTTGGCCATGCTGCTTACTTATTCATTGGTTTCTAGACTATAAGCCCTCTGAGGCAGGGAACCTTGGACCCTGTGTTTATACCAGTGCCCTGATAAGGGCATGTTATGAGAAATTGTCTGTATTTCATATGTTGCCCAGCCTATCTGTCTCAGATAACACTGCTTATAGTCAGAACAGCATTCTCTAAATGTTTAGGCCAGAGAATAATTTAAGGGTCCTCTTGCACAGTTAGCACCTAGAAGGAGCAGCATAAAGAGCCATGGGCATGCAGGGACAGTTCTGCTCTTAGCAGATGGTTTCCAGTCCACTAAATTATCCGTCACCCAGTGTCTTAGATGTTGGGAAGGCTTTGGCCATCTCATTGAGCAATGTAGATCTTGAGCTGCAAAGATGATCCTTGTTGAAAGCAGAGGAAAATAGAGAAGGCTTTCTATTGACTTGTCTTTTTTGGTGGACCTTGGCCACAGACCTTCTCAATCTTCAGCAGTTCTGGGATCTCCTTGCTGGCAGGCAGCCATCTGTTGAGCACAGTCGTGGGCATTTTTGGAATGCAGGGTATTCATGCAATTAGCTCCATCTAATAATAGAGTTTTTATTCCGGGCTTAGTGAGTATCTCAATGTGGAAAGCAGACACACTGAGTAAGTGAAAGACTTCAATAGGAAAAAAAATAAGTGTGTGTAAATGTATCTGTATACTGGTAAATTCCAGGAGCTTTGAAATTTCATTACTGTTCATAGCTCAAGGCAATGAGAAACTTCTTATGTGTAGTGAGTAAATACAGTGCGCACAGCCCTCTGCAGATATGTTTATCTCACTTTAACATTATCCTAAATGGAGTCTGTAACCTCCATAAATACCACAAGAAGTGAAATGGCTTACACGATAATTAAAATGCTGTTTCTGACGAGAGTCATCCCCCCCTGCCTCTTCTCCGTTGCCGGAGGAGCTCTGCTAATGGGCATGTGCTAATCGCTTTGCACAGGTGAGAGCAGCTTTGAGCATGGGACTTTTTGTTAGCTGTGGTCAGGCTGTCAGAATTGTCAGGTTTGGTTGGGGAACGCAGGGGCAGAGCAGCTATATTTCTAGAATGGAGGTTTGGCAGTAATTTGTGCATGGTCATAGCACCGGCCATTACAACTTTGGGCTTTAGCCAGTCTCTGCCCTGTTGACTGTAAAGTCCACCTGGAAATAAATTATTTTTTTTAGACCTTTCACTGAAAGGAAGGGTTAAAGGCAAGGCTATAGATAAAGCCTTGTAGACAAGACAGTATTGAGGGAGAAGTAGGGAGGTTTGGATCCTGACTCTTGCAGTGTGCCCCTCTGTGGGTCGTCTGGTCTCCTGTCCCTCCGGTTGGTCACTGAGAAGTGGGGGTGATATTTTTTTTGCCTATTGTGTTGAGATTTCAATTTCTCTGGAGATGGGACAACATGTTCATGCAACACTTCATTGCAAGCGGGCCTGGCTTCCACTGGGGTGGTGAAAAAATTGCATGGCCTTCACCCCAAACCTCTCTGCCTCCTTCTCATGCAGCATCTGAACAACGCCTGGGAGTCAGTGTCCTGCGGGAAGATCGAGGATCAGATGGCCCTGACGGATCAGGCACGCAAGTACATGGCCGCCTTCCCCACCCGGACTCTGGTGATGTGAAAGGGTCAACAGACAGAGAAGCATTATGGTTTTGAGAACACTTCACCTCCACTGGGAAATTCCTGTTCCTCTGTATGAAAACTTTCCATGAATGGGAGAAGAGCCTATCTTTGTTGTGGTACAACAGTTGGGAGCAGCACAAAGTGCATTTAGTCACTCAGCATATATATATATTTTTTTTAATAAATGATACTTGCCTAAATTATTAGGTATTAAGTTTGAATCAGTAATTAATGATCTTAAGTGCAGACTTATAATAAAGATAATTTTTTTGTACTTTTTGAGATCAAGCAGACCTAATACACCAGTATTGTTATTTCAGTGATGTGCTAGCCAGGGGTAGGGTTTTGTTTGTTTATTTTTTTAATTTTTTTTTTAATAATAAAAGAGCAGGTACTCAAACAGATATATTTTAAATCACTGAACAAAACACATTGGTGTAAAATATTGAAGTGAAAAGCATTACTACAAACTCTAGTCTGTGCAAAGGGGGAAAACTGATCAAGATTGTGAATGCTCAAACATCCATGTCTCTTGAAATATTCTTACATTCTGTTATGGTTCTAGACCATTATACATTGTGTGTTTCTGTTTGGGGGGGTAATTAGCTTGCTTTAAAAAAATATTACTGTATGAAACATAGATTTATGAGAAAAATTATATTTTTATTCAGTAATTTAATTTTGTAAATGCCAAATGAATACTGTGTTTTGCTGCTACAGATCTTAGTGTTTAGACATGCTGCTAGTGTAAAAGGAGCAGTAGAGCTTTATATGGAAAGAAAACAAATGTTGATGTTAGCTAATTCACTATGCACTAGCATTTCAGACCTTTTAAATTTTTTTACATCTTTTATCTTTTTTCCCCTTTTTTTATAAGCAATATTTTTGAACACTGTTCCTGGGTGATTTTTTTTTTTGTCTGGATGTGTTGTTTTGTTTCTCATTGGTTTGTAACAGCATGCATTGCACCTTCATATGTTTGGGAGAACACTGTCTTGTTCATGTTGTCTGTTTTGTTCCTTGTCTACCTAATTTTTCCCTAACTTGGGCCCTGTGTACTAAATCAGGTTCTTAGAAATACATGGTTCTTTGTACTGCCATACCAAATCTTTATTGATATGGCAAAACACTGATTTTATTTTTTTATTTTTTTTATAACAGCCTCTGACTTTGCTGCCTTAATAGCATTTCGTGCAGCTTCATCTGCACTTAATTTTTTATATGACAATATATACTGCCTTGTAGATAAATAAAGTGTGTTCTTTTTTACTTAAACCCACATGGTCTCCTAATCTTGTTTGTCTTTAGTGTTTTGGCACTGTTGTTATAGGCAACAATCAAGCCGAGAAGTTTTTTTTCCAGCACACTTGGATAAGTAAGGAATAGAGTTTTGCAAACCATAAGTGGCCTCGACATCTTCAGTTCTCATCGACTGTTAAAGAAGTGGAAGGAGCACAGCACAAAACAGGAAATATTGAGCATGTTGCGGACTCAAGGCACATCTCTAGTGACACGGAAGTCCAGGTCAGCTTCAGCTGGTGGGAGGCTTATGGCACCTTTTGTGCAAAACCGCTGTTCTCCCAAAATAGTGATAATTAATTTCTTAATCTAAGTCCATCACATCAGGAACCAACTGAATAAGAGCAAAATATGCTGGAGTTCCTATACTGTAGGACAAATTTTTCTCACGCTTGTCTTAAGAAACCAGAGGTAAGAACGTACTTGGAGACCTGGTGCGTTACGCAGGACAGCAAATAACTGGGCAGACCTGCAGAGCCTCATGCAGTGTAAGTGCTGGTGACATGCAGCCCTAGGAACACTAGAGAGTAAAAGCAATTACCAAGAAAACAAAAAAAAGAGATGCAACCTGCCAGGAAAAAAAATTGCTTTTGGCTTTCAGTGCAAGAAGGGACTGGTGCCTGCAGCAGCCCCCTCCAGGCTTGTTCTGTGTTTCCTGCCCCCATGTGCAGTTGGGGCTCTCATTGAATGCTGGGGGGCCGAGGCAGAGCCAGAGGTAGTTCCGGAACAATTGCTGCGGGCAGGACCCCAGCGCTGGGTCTGGATTACAGAGAAGGGGAAGTCTGCAGGAGCCCTTGCCTGTGCAAAAGCCTGAAAACGCTTGTGCAAGCTGCGAGGGAGGACTGCGGGACTCGATGGTGTGCAACTTGGGAAGAGGGAAAGGGCTGCCTCTGAAACACGCCACAGCTTAAGCAACACATTACAGCTTAAAAGAAAAAAAAGGAAAAAGAAACACCAAGCTTACAACAGGTCTTCGAGGCAAAGCTCTTGTCTTGTTAGGGCTCCAGTTGTAACTGCACCAAGAGTGGCTGAGTTTAAACAGATCATTATCTCGCACCCAGTGCTGGGAAACATGGAGGCTCATTCTGCAGGTGCCCAGCATAAGGATTTTTTTTTTCTCCTACACCTTCAGTTGCTTTAAAACCTTTTTATTGTGCAAAATCATTGCAATATTTGTCATGTTGATGGGTGCACTTAGAGCTAATACAGAGGAAAATGTTTCTTTTTCTTCTTATTTCATTGAAAATGCAGAACACTCAGTAGATTAAGGCTGATTTGCATATGTTCCTGCATGCATGTGGCGCTCAGCATGAGCGAAGGAAGAGGCTTTGTTCGAATGCTTTAGCCCAGGAAGCTGATTATTCCCCCCCCCCCCCCCCCCCCCCCACTACTGGCAAAGTTTCCTTTGCAACAAAGCGCCACCTCCTACATGTCTTTCTCACACAAATATCCCCACATGACTACACTCTGCTTACTGTCTGAAATGCACCTCCTTTCAGAGGTCCAAGACAAGTCCTACCTGTCTGTTAAATTCCATCTTATTCATCAGTCAGGCAAGACCTATCCTGAGACAGGTCCACGTAAAAGGTCTTGGCGCTGGCTATTTGGCCTTGCAGTGGCCCTTTGCACAGGTGTATAGTCACCCTGGACCCATTTAAACCTAGGGTAACCTACCAAAATGAAAGGAAAACAGGTTCAGTCAAGTTCTCATTTAATGGAGAATAGATATTTGGCTTAAATTCCTATTAACCTTTTTCTTCACTGTAATTATAACTTAATAATGTTGTCAGTGGGAATTCTTTTGATTTCTGAAAAGAATTTAAATTATAATTTCAGCATGTGCCACTAATTAAAAATGAAGAGGCAAAGGAGCCATGGCAAAAATAAAGGAAAATACCAGAGCATGAGGTGTTTCCCAGCTAGACCCTGTAATTCTCCAGCTGCCTATGCAGAGAGTCCCAGGGGCTCAGCTCCCACAGGTCTGACCTATGTGACAGCTAGAAGCCTAAACTGAAGAAGTGCCAGAACTTGGACTGCTTTGGGAAAAAAGCATTACAGCTCGAATGAAAGAGCCAGACTTAGGAGCCAAAATAACAAGTCTGCTGAGGGTAAAGCACAGAGTGCAACATTGGACATTCTGTAGCACAGAAAAGCCAGAAGAAAAGGTTTTTTCTCAGTATTTGCAATCTTGATCCTCATCCAGGCCAGCTAAGTCAATGGCCACCAGCTCTCCCTCAAGCCCAAATAGTCAGGCACATAAGCAAAGGGTTGTGATTGGAGCATCATAATCCTCACCTCCTCTTGCTCCTGCCACATGCAATTGTATTGCTACCTCAGCTGTGATTTGAGACAGGGGTGATGGCAAAGGACAGAAAAAGGCCTTGTTCCTAGAAATCTATTTTAAATGTTTGGGGTTTTTTTAATCATCCAAAAAAAAATTGAAAACAGCATGTTAAAAAATGTTTCCGTTCAGGAAGGAACAATTTTGAGGCATTGGTCTGCATGTTGCTTGCCTCCTTGTTCACTAAGATGGGTGGATTCTGTCAATAACCCAGATGTTGCTCAGGAGCAATGGTGGCATTTTGCCTGGGTGGCTAAGACACTGGCCACACCTTCCAATCACCAGGCTAATGTCTTAATTCAAACAGAAGCCCTGCTTCCTGACCAAATGTACTTTTTCCCTTTGTTTGCCTCTTTTCTTTGAACTTGACTTCGATGTCTCAGCAGTTTTCACTGAAGACCCTGCTACCAGCATAAACTTGTTTGTGACTTTTTTGCTCTCAGTGACTGATACAGGTGAGAAAATGAAGGTAGAGCGTAGAGGTCCAAATTCTGCCTTCAGCTGTGTTTGCAAGCTGGCACTGGTTATACCGCTCATTGTAAAGGGCTGTAAAATGCATTCACTCTGCCATTATCTTTCCATAAATTATCTGTGATCAGGTTGTTGCGTTTTTTTACAATCCCTCTTGATACATGACATTTATACAAGGCATTTTTCCAATCCATTTGAGTATCAGAACAATTGCTGATTTTACCTTTTTTTTTTTTTTTTAATTAGTCTCTGCTTCTCAGCCTGCCCAGATCTGCACTTAGAGACTCACTTGACTTACACCCAAGGAAATTTCATTTATGGGGAAACAACTTTTACTACTTGATTAAATGATTCCTCATTGCTACAGCTCCGAGACACGCTCTGCACACACATCTGTCAGAGACGCCTTTGCAAACGGTGAAGAAGAAAGTTTCAGGAAGCTCTCCCCGAACAGTTTTGTACACTAACCATAGAGACCACCTCTGCATCTCCCGGTTCCTGCTGGCCCAGCTGCGAGCCTGCCCTGGCCCTCCCGATAAAGTCAGCCCCGAGAGACTCTTGAAAGGCTGCCTGCAGGTGTGCTTTCCTGCTCGCGCCTATCTCTCTCCGCGACTTCTAATGTCTCATTAACTCTCTCATCAGCGTACATCAGCACAGGAGTTATCTGAAGGCGAAGGGAGGCCATGACTATTTAAGCGATGGGTTTTCGGTATCTGTGTTCCTATGAGCGCAAGGCGGAGACCTCAGCGGTGCCGGCTCAGCCTTCCTGTGCAGATAAAGGTGCTGCGAGCCCATGCTGCTGGCAGGGAAATTGAAATCTGCACGGGGTTAGAGCTCCAACCTGTCCAGCCAAACCTTGCTGCACCAAAGAATTAAACAGAGAAATG